AGCATGGTACGCATTGTTCATTGTACTCTGCTTTCCATCGATCACAGTTCCAAGTCCAAATTTCATGAATATGTTTCTCTTTGGGGTTCTTAAATCCCATTCTATCTATCTTCAGCATTACAGTGCTTCTGCATTTTCAGGAATCTCTATAACTGTGTAACAACTCCATATTGTTGCAGGGATGTTCACACTATAGCAGTTGCTGTGATTTTAAGTCAGGGTGTCCATTCAGTTGGCAAAATTGTGTCCTTGGGCAGTAAGCATGCATTTAGAATCTGGTGTCTTAGAGTTGGATGTATGATTATTTCTGCATCAGCATGGCTCATTAAAGGGTAATAAATATGTCTTCACTAAAGGCATTGCCATCTCTGCCTTACTGCCTGCAGTGCTCCATTTAAAGGCTACAACACCCATAAACTCTTTTTCCAAAGGAGATTTAAGGAGGTTGCTTGTGATGAGGGACCTGATGACAAGTGGACATTATAGGAAGACGGTGCCTTCTAAAATGTGAGGGAGGTCTGCCTGCTTTATCAAATATATTCAAAGAATTACTGTATCTGTTCAATGAATATCTAGAGAAAGCCTAAGCATCACATGGCACTTAAAAGATCATAATAGAAGATATCATTGCGCATTTTCACTGTCCTGAGAAAGATGACAGAGATTTCTGCTGTGGTTGGTATCCCATGGGCCAATTTCCAAAATCAACTCCATACGCCAAAAATTAAAAACAGCTTATGATGTGGGCCGAAGTAAATAAGAAGCACAGAAGCAGTTAAGTTTGACGTACATTTGAAGAAATACAAAGAGTACTCCACCAAGGCCAATGACTAGCACAAATGGGAATAAGTAGTCTGGCTATGACATGACTGGTGGATGATTCTGGAACAGTCCTTCAGTATAATATCAAATTATTGAAAATGCTAACGTTTTCTTAGTATGACCTAGACAAGCAATATTTCTAAAAGGAATTCTGCACATGTAGATTCATCTTTCTCTCAAATTTTCTTCGAGAATATTTAACAATAAGTAATCAATCAGACTTATTTCTTTGGCGTTCTACTTATGTAGATCAGCTTTCTGACACCACTGCTGTTCCAGTTATATCAGCATATTATAGGATTCACATTTAGCATACAAGATGTGGTACACAAGCTATCGAGGAATTTTGGAAGTGACTGGAATTGCTATTTTCAAATGATAAGTGAAGAAGTGGAACTATTCTCAGTGAAGTTCTTTTAGATGCATATTTAATATTTAGCATTCTAGGTTTCTAGGTATCTTTCTGCCTAGTCAGGGAATCCAGGATATTCCCTATTTTTCTTTACCTCTAAATAAAGCTATTTCCTATTCAAATAATTGGATTTTGCTAGTGAAGCGTAGTGACAACAACATGTTATGTCAGGTTTTTACTAACAGTTGTTTGGGAATACAATCAAAAAAAAAAAAAACCTTTGTGCCTAATTAATTATTTCTATTAACATCTGCTTATTTTCTCTGCAGAATTTTTCCGAGAACTTCTGGAGAATGCAGAAAAATCCCTAAATGACATGTTTGTACGGACGTATGGGATGCTATACATGCAGAACTCAGAAGTGTTCCAGGATCTCTTTACAGAACTGAAACGATATTATACAGGAGGCAATGTGAACTTGGAGGAAATGCTAAATGATTTCTGGGCTCGGCTACTGGAGAGGATGTTCCAGCTCATAAACCCCCAGTATCATTTCACTGAGGACTACTTGGAGTGTGTGAGCAAATACACAGACCAGCTGAAACCGTTTGGAGATGTCCCGAGAAAGCTGAAGGTTCAAGTGACTAGAGCTTTCATTGCTGCAAGGACCTTTGTTCAGGGGCTGACTGTAGGCAGAGAGGTTGCAAACAGAGTATCCAAGGTAATCTAAAATTAGGATATTTTTAACTTCAAATTTGTTTCCAATGTGTTTATTAGATATTTGAATTTTGTTTATGCACTACTTTTTTTTTTTTTTTTAGCATGTACTGGTACACTTATTCTAAGTTTATAAATAGGGACTACAGTTCTAATTCTTTTGGAGTCAGTATTAAGATAATACCGGAATATATCAATATACATCGCAATTCTATCACAATAGCAAACGTCATTAGCAATGCAAAAAAGGTTGCATATATAAAATGTGATTATTATGATCAGAATTTAAATGTTTCAAGTAAATTTATGCAGCTGTTTGTCAGGGCAGCACAGCCTGTGCAGTATTCATTCATCATTCAGTGGAGTGATGGATGTTGTTAGGAATGTCTAGTCATGCCTTTGATGAGGAAATAGACCACTTTGGCACCTCTGGAGCTTGAGCTTTCCCAAAGGACAGCTTGACTCTTATTTATTTGTTTTAATTATTTATCTATGCAAATATTTATGATGATTATAACCCTCAAGGGCTTCACATAATTAAAGCTGCATAAGAAAAAAAAATACACACACGCACAAAAAATAACCCATCTGGGTACCTGAAATGTGCCTGAATCACTTCTTATGTAATGCTTCAAAATCAGCTGTAGTTCTCTGAATTCCCATTCCAGCAAGTTTTGTGATTTAAGGATCTAGATCTATTTCATAGGCCTAATATGTAGTGCATTTGGAACTAGTTTTTATTCTGAAATTTGAAATGCTGAAGTGAGGGTCTGTATGAAATGCTGAAATACTTTCTTCTTGTCTATAGTTGCTTGGGTGATTTTGGGCTTGCCACTTGCAATAAGTTCCTATGTTTACAATCTAAGCCATTACTCTTCATCAGAAGGACTGTCTTTTTTGTTTCTTTTAAAACACAGAGAGAGGGCAAGGTGGAGGTAGAGCTGGTGTGTTGGACGGTAGTTTGCAATTCAAGCATGCAAGACAAGGAAAACCCAACAGCTAAACTTTTCTTACTATGCATGATGCATTATTTTGCAATTAAAAATTCAGAAGCTGTGGAGCCAGAGAGGCAGCTGAAGGGTCATTTTTCAGTTTAGCATTGGTGATCAAAATACATGATCTGGTTACCCAGTTCAAATTAAGTTCTCTTCCTCCCAGGTGCCTTCCTGGGCGATGGCATTGGGTTTCCTTTTATTTCTAGGATTGTTGATTCTTGCATTCCTTTCTGAACAGCAACATGGTATCAGCATGAAATCCCAGCCCACCTAGCCAGGTCGGTGGATGACAGGTTTGTTTAGCCTCTGAGTGCGTGGCGTGCATGTACCTGCCTCCCCAGACTTCCAGGGAAGGGCTTTGGAGTTCCCCCTTGGTCAGGCTGCAGGTGCAAATGCTCAGCTCTGAAATCACTCTCGTCAGTAGGCATCAAGTTTTGCTACAGTAACTGAATTTGTTTATAGGGATTAGGCTAGGTAAATAGGGATTAGGCTAGGTAATTTATGTAATAGATATGTTTTGTGTGAAACCCAAACAGAATAAGGTATGAAATGTAGGCTGAGATTATGCATTTTCTTTGCATGTACATAAATGCACAGAAAGTGCAGGTATCTTGCCTTTCCTTACCCAGGAAAGGTTTTTGTTCAGCCTGCTGGTTTTGGGCACACAAGCCCTTTGAAAAATAGATCCTTATCAGTAGATAACTAAATAGTCATATAATCCTATGATGAGAAATACTAGTTCGACAATCCTGAAGTGAGCTTTTTTTATAGTGATGCTTGAAGGTGATAACAATAGATCATTTTATATGGTAGTGCTTCTGATTTTTTAACTTGAAAGTAATCTTTTAAAATCTTTTAAGAGTTTCTGGTAGTTTGTGTGGTTGCAAACATAGGTTCTTTGCTTTAAATATTCATAAATATATTTTAAAGTAATACATTCCTGAGGATTAGATTTTTCTAGTATTCGTACCAGCTTTCTAGGTTTCTGGTTATTTATACCTGTGATGAAATCCAACTGTTTTGGATATTGATTAATTTAATAAAAGTTTCTTCCAAGCATCACAGGAAAGGGCTATGATGAAAACAAAGGAGGGATCTCCTTTACATGCATTGGTCTCTGAAATCCCGTTACATCTGATTGTGTGTATCCAGTTGGCAGGAATCTTGATATGCATGCTCAGTTTTTGCATAAAGTATGTGTAGGTGATGTGTTATAAATCTTGAACCTTTCAGGAACATTTCTACATATGTATAGGAGTCAATAAGGCTAGTTTGTCTTATGCAGAGCTTCCAAATTAGTAGTCCAGAATCCTTGTAGATATCCTGTGGCACTCCTACTCCACTTCCTGATGGGTTTCAGAAATGGTCCCACCTCAGCCATATGTCACATCTGCTGGGCCTATATGGTTGTTTCTGGCAATACAGTGACTAGCCCTAGGTGTTTACTTCTGTGAGAGTGGAGTATTTCTGTTGGATCTGTTGACAGTATTGATTACATTTCTGTTGAGTATATTGAATGTTGAGGTGCTGAGCTCACATGCAGATGCTTGCCTTCAGGCATCTAAATGTTGGCATCCACGTTCAGAGCTGAGTCTCACTAAAGTTATAGAAGAATCCTGTTATTTATAGTGCTTGAGTACTTGACTTCTCAAAATCAGTAATTTTCTTCCAGCTTATTTTTGTAAGTATGTAAAATATCAACATATACAAGCTAATGTAGTAATATTTTATAGAAAGATGAGTGCATCAGCACATCCAAGCATTGTGCTTATATTGAAATGTTCATTTCATGTTGCATAAAATATAAAGCACATATACCTGCTCATTTTAGAAATATATATGATTGTGTGTAAGTAATAATATTTTTGAATTTGAATTCGGAAGTATTTTTGAATACTTCCCAATTGCAATTTAGTCTTAGCAATGTAAAGCTTCTTCTTTCCAATCATGCTACCTGGCTAGAGAAATTTGTCAATTATATTATAAATGCTAATTCTAATGAATAAAATCAGAACTCTGATTCAAAAAAGAAAATACATATGAAGTAGAATGGTGTGCGATTAGCATGTTTTAGAGTTGAGACAAACTGGAGTGAGTCTAGGAGAGGGCTGCCAGGATGATCGGGGCTGGAATGTTTTCCCTGTGAGGAGAGCTGAAGGACCAGGGCTTGTTTGGCCTTTTGGCCTGGAGAAGGAATGATTTATGGGAATGTAACAGCAGCCCTGTAGGCATCGTCAAGAAGTTGGATCAAAATTCTTCACAGTGGGGCAGGAAGAGAGAAGAATAGACAATGGAATCTGAATTGAAACTTTTGAGGTTCAGACTGGATATATGGAGACACTTTTCACAGTCAGAAGAGTAAAGCAGAGAAATAAGATCCCCAGAGAGACTGTACAGGCTCTGTCCTTGGAGGTTTTCAAGACCCATATGGACAGAGCCCTGAGCAAACTGTCTGACCTCAGAGCTGACCTTGCTTTGAGCAGTAGGTTGGACTAGAGACCTCATGAAGTCGCTTCCAAACTGAATTATCCTATGACCCTATTAAAATATTAATGAAATTCTACTTAAATGTGGAAAGTGCTTTGATGGTAAGACTGACTTTAGTATTAAAATATATGTGGATATATTCATATGCACAGCAAATGGTAAAAAGTGCTGGTTTTAGAGACTGTGTCATATATAGCATGGTGAGGCAAATGCAAAGAACCCTAACTGACCCCAAATACGCAAAATTAATAAATAGCCTGTGAATGTGATTACTCTGATATCCACATTTTCCTACTTGTACAATAAATGCTTATTTTTGCATTGGTGTAGCTACTAAAGAGCGTAACAAATGCTCTGTATATAGTATAAAGAGCTTTTCTTTAAACATCATTTCGAATAGACTACAGTCATTCTTTAAAATTAGCACATAACTTTACCACAAGAAAACAGGCAGGTAAATATTCTTTTCTTGCTGTTTTGAAAGTCATCAGATTCAGTGTGTGTTTCATCTTCATAGTACTCTAATATCAAAATAATCTGCAACAGGAACAGCGTCTCTGTGTAAGCCAAGGCAAATAAAAAAAAAAAAAGGAAAGAAAAAAAAGAGATAAAATGAAAGGAATCTCACTGAAGTTCTTTTACAGAAATCCTAGTTCGTTGCCTGCACTTGTTGGGAACAGGTGGGGCTTTCTTAGGTGCAACATCCACAAGTTCAAAAGATTTTGTACTTTCTGTGTGTGGACTTGTTGTCTCACTAACCTGTCTCTGCCAAAGGCTACTCTTTAGAGCACAGTTCAGTCCCCATCCTAAACAGAGTGAAAAAGAGACTTATTAAAGAGAAAACTGACAGCAATGTCTGTAACTTTATGTAATGTTTTATTTCTGTCAGGCAAACAGATGTAGTTGCATTGCATCTAGCTGAAGATGTGTGGTTTTATTTGAACGGAATCTTTATAATCTCAAGTTACATTTTTTAAGATTTCTTTTAATAATGTGTTAAAAAAAATGGACAGTCTGTGTTTATTAAGGGCGTGTTCTATCTCCACCCCATACAAGATATTTCCATTGACTTGAGTAGGCGCCAGCTCACTAACTTCTATATATGTTCTGTAAAGTTATTTATGCATAGAAACAAGTAATAGTGTGTTTTAAAGTGAGAAAAGTGAAACCTATATATTCATAAATTTATAACCTAAGAACTACCATTTTGGGCACACTAAATATCAGTTTAGTAGATTTCCACCTCAGTGTCTTGAAGCTTATCAGTCAGTAGGAGAGCTGAGCTTCTCCTCCAATTCTTAAGCTGTTTTATAGACTTCAAGTTTATGGACTTTATGGGCTACAGGAAATAATTGGTAGATTTTTCCACCAGCCTGTTTTTCTAGTAATTTGTCAGATCCTAAAAGCCTGTAGAATAGACTTTTTGGCTTTCTTACTATTTTAGGCTAAAAAGTGCCATTTTTTTCCCATAAAATATAGCATATTTAAAGGTCAATGCTTTTACATTAATTTTGTGTTTCTC